TCCTCCTCCTCCTCCTCCTCCTCCTCCTCCTCCTCCTCCTCCTCCTCCTCCCCTTCCTGGGACTCACAGCGCGGTCAACCACAGGGACAGTGAGACCTGCCCCTTGCAGCTCTGCAACCCTCGGACTACGACGGACTTCCACTTGCCAACGTGCTCCGCGATGCGCAGGAGGAGGAAGGGAGGGCGACCATTTGGCCGCGCGGACAAAGGGTTAGAGGGAGAGTGGAAGGCTTAGAGGCAAAGGTTCTTCTCAGAAGCCTTCCCCCCTCCCCCTTACCCCTCTCTCCGCGTGGCTGAACCATGCGCGCGGAATGCGGCGAGGCGGTTCCACCGGATCAGTCAGCATCGAATCGAGAAATCCGGTCGGGTAGGGCCTCGAACTTGGCTGCATCGGCACGGAGTCGAAATCGCACCAGATCGGCCACGCCATGATGCACGACAGCGCCATGCGACCATGGGGGCGCACCGAATCTTCGGAACATTGGAATCGAATAAGATCGGGCCAGCCAACACCGATGTCGAGTCGGATCGATCGGATCAGAAGGGACCCGAGCTTCACCTCCGTCTGCACCTCATGGGGGGCTGGCCATGCTCAAAAACAACGGACTCACACCTGGCGAGGCGCAGCACGATGCGCAGGATGGGGGGGGAAAGGAAGTGAGGGTCACCCTGCACGCGCAATGCGGGGCAGGTGGTTTCACCCTCTGAAGTTTTGAATGTAATATTGAGGCAGTGCATGGACAGCCAGTTCTGAAAGCCAACTGGCCCCATAGATGCTTGTGTGCACTCTCTGATATCAGATTGCCGCTTCCTGCGCGGCTAGCATGTTTAACCTTTAACCCTGCTGAGCCGATGTGCAGTGCGAAATGGCTTGCAAACGAACGAACGCACGAACGAACCTGGCAAGACTTCCGGTAGCGCGCAGACGGTCCCCCGGATAATCCCGGCTGGCCTCAACAGACCCCCCCCGAGGAATGCCAGCTGCCGAATGCCAGCTGCCCTCAACAAGCACCCCCCAGTAGCCTGGGCCGGTCCCAACATCTGAACCCTGGGGCGCGGAGCGACCCAGGGGGGCCGCCGGAGGCGGCGCTGGGGTGTGGAGACCGCCCTGGGTTACTCGGGGGCCTACTGAGTAGACGAGCGCGTTCCCCTACTCGCAAATCAACTGCTCGCAAATTGCCTGGATCCGCCGCGGGGGATTTACGATATATTACATAGAGGAAGACCGTTATATTTCGGACGTATGCGAGTAGACACTTTGCGAGTAGTGGAACGCGCTCGGCGACTGAGGCAAGCTGTGTCTAGCTGGGGGGGCTGCTGGTGCGCAGCCTGGAGCCTTACCAGTGCAACATCGGCTTACGAACGAAGGAACACACAAACGAACACACGCACACTGATCCTTCCTCTCCTTCCTCCAGGTTCTTTCTTGTTCTGTTGATGATGATGCTGATGATGATGATGTTGATGATAATGATGCTGATGATGACGCTGCTGCATCAGCATCAGCATCAGCATCAGCATCAGCATCAGCATCAGCATCAGCATCAGCATCAGCATCAGCATCATCGTCATCATCGTCATCATCATCATCATCATCGTCATCATCGTCATCATCGTCATCATCGTCATCAGCATTATTATCAGCATCCATCGTCATCGTCATCGTCATCGTCATCGTCATCATCGTCATCATCGTTATCATCGTCATCATCGTCATCATCATCATCAGCATCATTATCATCAGCACCATCATCATCAGCATCACCACCACCATCATCATCATGAGCATCATCATCATCATCATCATCATCATCATCATCATCATCAGTATCATCATCATCATCATCATCATCATCATCATCATCATCATCATCGTCATCATCATCATCATCAACAACATCATCATGATCATCATGCTGAAGGCGCTCGAGCGGACGCTTCTGCCAATCATCCAGAAGGCGCTTGAGGAGGACTTCCTGGAAGGGAGAAGGAGCTGGGCCTGGCCGGCCTCCAGCGCACGCCTCCAGCCGGCGAGCCCCTCGGCGATGGCGCCCGAGCCGAACTGCGGGTCCGCCTGCTCGGCACGTCGCAGCAGTGGCCTGAGACGAGGAGGAGAGGAAGAAGAGAAGGAGGAGGAGGAAAAGGAGAAGGAGGAGGAAGAGGTGGAGGTGGAGGAGGAGGATGAGGAGGAGGAGGAGGGGAAGGAGGAGGAGGAGGAGTAGGAGGAGGAGAAGGATGAGCAGGAGGAGGACGATGATAAGGAGGAGGAGGAGGAGGAGGAGGAGGAGGAGGAGGAGGAGGAGTGGGAGGCTGAGGAGGAGGAGGAGGAGGAGGAGGAGGAGCAGGAGCAGGAGCAGGAGGAGGCAGAAAACGACGACGAGGAGGAAGACGGGACGGAGGCCGACCTGATCATTCTATGCGCTGGCGCGTCGGCGACTCGTTGCTTGCACGTTCTCTGCTGCATCCTGCGTCCTCCTCCTCCTCCGCCTCCTCCTCTGGTTGCGGTCAGGGCTGCCCCCTCCCCCCCCCCGGATACGCATCACGACGGACCGAGGCCGGCGTCGGCGGCGCGCGGCGGCCGGAGGGCCACGCGGTCTCCGGCACCGCCGCGAGGGGCTCGGTCTCCAGGGCGCTGCCGCTGGTGCAGATGCAGAGCCTCGTCGGGGCAGCGGGGCCCAGAACGGAGCTCGTCGTCGTCGTCGTCGTCGTCGTCGTCGTCGTCGTCGTCGTCGTCGTCGTCGCGTCGTCGCCGTCGCCGTGGCCTTCGCCGTCGCCGCCGCCGCCGCCGCCGGCTTCGTCGTCGTCGTTGTCCGACGTTCGAAGTTCGATGGTCGGTGTTTTCGGATGCTTTCGTCGGCTCTTGGCGGTTCTGCATCCCTGGGATGCTTTCCAGCAAATGCGCCGCGCCTGGGGCGCTCTATGGGTCCGCGAATCGCATCGACAATCCGCCGGACGCCCGAGTTATGACCTGAAAACCAGATGAGCAGCAGCAGGATAGTAAGCAGGCGCAGGATGAGGAGGAGACGCGGAGTGAGCAGAAGGAGGAAGGAGGAAGGAGAAAAATTCGCCGGCCCAACGGGCCAGGGCGTGCTAAGATCTCCGGTGCCTGGTTAACAGTATTTCTAGTTCGCGCGCGCGGGGCGGCCCCTGGGGGTCCCCGGACGAAAAGAACCCCGGCAAGGTCCCGGCAAGTCCCCGGCAAGTCCCCGGCAAGGTCGGGTCAGAGATGCTGGAGTTCTGTTACAGGGCCCCAGGGCGGGCCAAGAGGTCCCCAAGAAGCCTCCAAGACGGTCCAAGAGGGCCCCGAGACGGCCAAAGATCGCCCGAAGACGCCCAACAGGGCCCCAAGACAGCCCAAGAGGCCTCCAAGACGCCCCAAGGGCCTTCCAAGAGGCCTCCGAAGAGGGCCCCAAGAGGCCAAAATCGTTGATTTTCATTGTTTTTTCTATGTTTTTTGCGTTCTGGCTTTTTCGGCTTCCGGACGCTCCAAGACGGCCCAAGAGGCCCCCAAGACCGCTCCAAGACGGCCCACGAGGCTCCCAAGACGGCCCCGGAACGGCCCAGGAGGGCCCCCAAGACGGCCCAAGTGCCGCCCAAGACGGACCAAGAGGCCCCAAGACGGGCCCAAGAGGGGCTCAAGAGGGGAACCGAGAACTGAAAAATCGAGCCCTCCGCCCCAGAAGGCGCCCAGGAGGCCCCAAAAAGGCCCCAAGAGGCCCCCAACACGCCCCAAGAGGCGCCCAAGACGCCCAACGGAGGCCCCAAGAGGCCCCAAAACGGCCCCCAAAACTCGGCTAGCCCACAACGGTGCGACAATATGGGCCGGCGGAATGAGCGAAGCGATTAATAATAAGAATGAGAAGAAGACTCGAAATTGCGCGTGGTCTGTGCCGTGGTGGATGAAGGACGAGGAGGAGGAAGAGGAGAGGGAGGAGGAGGAGGAGGAGGAGGAGGAGGAGGAGGAGGAGGAGGAGGAGGGGAAAGGGAGGAAATCTCTTAACGACATAGGTGCCGTCAGCGAGAGCAACGGGTGGAGGAAGAGGGGGAGGCATGAGGAGCAGCAGCAGCAGCAGCAGGAACAGCAGGCGGGTCAGCAGAAAACATCGGCACCCTTGCCTGACACCGCTGCGCGCCCTGGGGTCGGGCAGGGCATCGCCGACAGGTCAGCGATACATCGCTGATAGAAGTGGCAGGCTCTCTGACGGCGTCAGCCTTGCCTGACAACGCTGCACGCTCTGGGGTCGGGAAATGCATCGCCGATAGATCGGCGATACGTCGACGATCAATGTGGACGGCTCCCTGACGGCGGCAACCTTGCCTGACAACGCTGCACGCTCTGGAGTCGGGCAATGCATTGCCGATGGATCAGCGATGCATCGCCGATAGAGGTGGAAGGCTCCCTGACGGCGGCAGCATTGCCTGAAAACGCTGCGCTCTGGGGTCGGGCAATGCGTCGCCGATTGATCAGCGATGCATCGCCGATAACGCTGGGCGGCTCCCTGGCGGCGGCAGTCTGGCCTGACAACGCTGCCCGCTCTGGGGTCGGGCCACACATCACCGATAAAAGCGATACATTGCAGATGGAGGTGGACGGCTCCCTTATAGCGGCAGCCTTGCCTGACAACGCTGAGCGCTTTGCTGGGAAGACCATTGTCAATAGATGAGCGATGCATCGCCGATAGAGGTGAACCGCTCCCTGACAGTGGCACCCTTCCCTGGCAACGCTGCGCGCTCTGAGAGCGGGCCACACATCGCCCATGGATCAGCGATACGTCGTCGATCGATGTGGACGGCTCCCTGACGGTGGCAACCTTGCCTGACAACGCTGCACGCTCTGGGGTAGGGCAAACCATCGCCGATAGATCAGCGATACATCGCCGATAGAGGTGGACTGCTCCCTGACGGCGGCAACCTTGCCTGATAACGCTGCCCCCCCCTAGGGTCGGGCAACCCATCGTCGACGGATCAGCGATACATCGCCGATAGAGGTGGACAGCTCCCGGACAACGGCAACATTGCCGAACCCCGCTGCACGCTCTGGGATCGGGCCACACATCGCCGATGGATCAGCGATGCATCGCCGATAGAGGTGGAAAGCTCCTTGACGGCTGCAGCCTTGCCTGACAACGCTGCGCGCTCGGAGAGCGGGCCACACATCGCCGATGGATCAGCGATACATCGCCGATTTAGGCGGACAGCTCACTGACAGCGGCAGCCTCGCTTGACAACACTGCGCGCTCTGGGGTCGGGCAAAGCATCGCCGATGGATCGGCGATACATCGCCGATAGAAGTGGACTGCTCCCTGACGGACGGCGGCAACATTGCCTGACAACGCCGCACGCTCTGGAGTCGGGCAAAGTATCGCCGATAGATCAGCGATACATCACCGAGAGAGGTGGAGGGCTCCCTGACGGCAGAAGTCTTGCTTGACAACGCTGCACGCTCTGGGGTCGGGCAATGCATCGCCGATAGATCACCGATAGAGGTGGACGGCTCCCTGACGGCAGCAGTCTTGCTTGACAGCGCTGCACCCTCTGAGGTCGGGCAACACATCGCCGTTAGATTAGCGGTACATCGCCGATAGAGGTGGACGGGTACCCTGACAACGCTGCACGCTCTGAGAGCGGGCCATACATCGCCGATATATTAGCAGTACATCGCCGATAGAGGTGAACGGGTAGCTGCAACCTTGCCTGACAACGCTGCACGCTCTGAGGTCGGGCAACAAATCGCCGATACATTAGCGGTACATCGCCGATAGAGGTGGACGGGTACCCTGTCAGCTACAACCTTGCCTGACAACGCTGCACGCTCTGGGGTCGGGCAATCCGTCGCCGATAGATCAGCGATGCATCGACTGTCGAACGTTGCTGGGATACTGTACTCGAGCCAAGACTCCGTCGGCAATCGGTAGACACATGTTGAGGCCTCGCTCCTCGAGCTTAAGCTGGCGGTGCTAGGAAATTACCCTTCGGGTCGATTCTCGCCGCAATTCTTCAGACGAGGAGGGAGGAGAGAGCAAGACGGAGAAGGGCGGAGGGATAAAGGAGGAGACAGGGAGAGGAGGAGAAGAGAAGGAGTGAGGAGCGACGAGAGACACAGCAAGGTCCTCAGGAAGAAGACGAACGACAACAACGGCGAAACACATATAAACCTCCCGCCAAGACACGGCAACAGAGAACCGGACCGAACTCGGCATCGATGCACAAAGCTTGAACCTGTCATATGTATCATGTGCTGTATTGGTTCACGTACTGTTATACACATACCTCGATCCCAGTCATCATCATCGTCAGCATCATCATCATCATCATCATCATCATCAGCATCACAACCATCATCATCATCATCATCGTCGTCGTCGTCATCAACAACGCCATCGTCATCGTCATCGTCATCATAATCATCAACATCATCATCAACATCATCATCACAATCATCATAATCATCATCATCACTATCACCATAACCGTTATCAGTCAGCACCAGCATCATCATCCTCGCAATCACAATCACCATCACCATCATCAACATAGCCTTGACCATCATCATCAGTACCATCATCATCACCACCATCAACATCATAATAATAATCAGTCTAATCATCATCATCAGTTTTATCATCATCAGCTTCGTCATGATCATCATCACCACCACCATCATCATCACCATCATCATCAAAATCATCATCATCATCATCACCTGCACACAAGCCACCTCATTCCAACTTATTCCGCGACGCTTTTTCTAGGGAGTTCCGTGGGGATCGGAAGGACCAAGAGCGCCTCGGGCGATTGAACCCCCGAGAGCGTCAACGGGAGATGCAAGGATGACCAGAGGAAGGTGGAGCGAAACGCACCCCAGCAGAACATCCTACCAGCAACACATGTAAAAGGGGCGGGTCGAGGAGAAGGAGGTCGGCTGTAAAGGGACAGGGGTGCGAGCACGACCATGGGTACCATAGTGTATTGTGCGCAGGGGATCGTGGCCACCTGGGCAATACGTGCAGCTGGCTTTGAGGCAAGAGCACGATCCCTGTACGTATGATATGTGAGGAACTCTCAGACGAAACTGCTGCTGTCCTCCATGTTCTCGGGCTCCCCGTCTCCCCTGAGGAACTCTTTGGGGGTCGTGCCTTATCCCCTACTGAACCCTCCAACGAAACGCTGCTAAGGAACAGCGGGAGCGGCGGCGGCAGAGACCGCCACGAGGCCTGACTCGCGGCTGGCTGTCCTGCGACTTGCGCCTCCCAACCACTCCAGCACAATGCAGAAAGGGACATCCGCGCGGTCGCCGCCCCCCCTCCTCCTCCTCCGCCTCCTCCTCCGCCTCCTCCTCCTCCGCCTCCTCCTCCGTGCTCGCCACCCCTTCTCTTCCTCCTCTCCTCCCTTGCACGATCTGAGTTCTGCTCCTCTCTCTTCCCCGGCGACGTGCTGGGAGTGGCGCGCGCCCCCCCCCCCCCTCCACGTATAGTTTCCTACACGCATGACTGGTACGGTCTGGTTTTTTCTCGAGTGCCTGTTCCATCCGTGCGTCTCGGTCCTGTTCCCGCAGCAGCGAGCGCGGGCCTCATTTTCGGATCGGGACTTTGCTCCCGTCGTTCAGAACGGCGCTCTCGCCCCAGCCCGAGCCACTTTTCTAGAGCTGAGTCCTTCCTCATCTTCGTCGCTCCCCTTCTTTACTCTCTTCCGCCTTCCCCTGGTCCTCCTGCTCCTCCTGCTCTTTCCACTGCAGTTCCTGCTGCTGCTGTTCGTCCTCGTCCACGTCATTCCTCATCCTACTCCTCTTCCTCCTGCTCATCCGCCACCTGCCTTTCCAACGCACGCAGCTCAAATTTCCGATAGCGGAAGACATGACGGGGTAGTTTTTGTTGGAGTTCTTGGTCCGCTATGACACGTGTCGGCGGGTATGTGTATGTGTATATATATTTATGTGTATATGGGGAGAGAGACAGAGAGGCATAACACAAAACATCGCAAAAGGAAGGGACGGGTGGGAGGGGTCGGATGTCAGATATGGCGCCAGCGCCCCTAGCTAGTCTTCCCCGCAGCTGCTCAATATGAACACCACTCCCCCCTGACACTGAAGATGGCCGGGCCGGGGAATCGCCCGCCCGCCTACGCGCACTGTCTTTTTCACATTTAGGATTTCGAAAGTCAAGCGTTCCTATGTTAACGTCTCCGGTGTCTCGAGACGGTGCTGCCGCTGCAGCGTGGCCCAATCTTAGGATTGGCGCTTGGCTCCCGTCGTTCAGAATGGCGCTCTCGCCCCAGCGCGGGAGACTTTTCTAGATTCGAGAGCTTCCTCGTCGTTGTCGCCCCGCTCACTTCCCTTCCCCCGCCTTCCTCTGGTCATCCTGCTCACCCCGCCTCTACCACTGCAGCTCTTGTTGCTGCTGTTCCTCTTTCCTGGTCCTCCTCCTCCTCCTGATCCTCCTCCTCTTCCTCTTCCTCATCCTGGTGCTCATCCGCACCCTCTTCCTCATCCTCCTCTTCCTCTTCCTCATCCTGATGCTCATCCGCAGTCTTCTCCTCCAGTGCACGCAGCTCCCGTCTTCCGATTGCGCCCGACGCGATGGGGATCCTCTTGAGAGTTCCAGGTCCACTATGGCATGCGTCGGCGGAAAGAGCACACCGTCCGCGCAACGGGAAGGAATGGGTGGGAGGGGTAGGTGTCAGATCACGGGGGGATCATTCACGTCAAACCCAAGAAACGTCAGAACCGACGACGTGGTTGCTCCCTACTGGAGTCGCGCTAGTGATGGTGTCAGATCTTAGATCTGGCACGAGCGCACCCAGCTTACCTCTCTCGTCTCTCCCTCCTCCTCCCTCCTCATCCACCTCCACTTATCCCCCCCTCTCTCCGCCCTCCTCTTCCTCCGCCCCCCCCTCAACAAGTACTTATTCTCAATACTTCCCCCATTTCTCCCGCGATGCAATATGTACCTTTGCCGCCTATTCCGCACTGTTTTACACAAAAGGTTGCCCAAAGGTCGTTCTCGCTATGATGTCTGTCCACTCAGACTGCTTCCTGCCCCTCAACATGTGATTAAGCTGCAGCGCTGACCAGATTCGACGATTTTCACAAAGCCCCGTCCAACGGAACGACGCTCTCGTAGCGGCGCTGACCGTACTCTTGCATCAGCAAAAGTGCCGTTCCCGCTGAATTTTCTGCATTCCAGACTGTCCGTTGGGCTTCCGTCCAGGTGAACGGCGCTCTCGCCGCAACGCTGGCCGTACTCTTGAACCAGCAGAATGAAGGCTCCCGTTGCAACGTGTGGCACATTTAACAACTCCATAGACCTTCCTCCGTCCAATGGAATGGTGCTCTCGTTGTCGGGCTGGCCGTTCTACTGCATCTACTCAAATTCAGTCCCCGCTTTAGCGTCTGCGACCTTTCGCGACAACGTGGTTTTTTTCTGGACCCGGGCCTGGTCCAACACTCTACGCTGCCTCTGAAGGGGGGCACACCTCCATAGGAATTGATGGGATGAGGGTCTGATGTCAGATACGGCGCGAGCGCACCAACAAATGCCATCCTCGAACCACTTTCGACTCCTCCAACTCCCCTAACCCCTTCTCCTCCAACTCCTCCTCCTCCTCCACCTCCTCCTCCTCCACCTCCTCCTGCTGTTCCTCCACATCATTACCATCATCGTAATCATCATCACCAGCATCATCAGCATCATCATCCATATTATTATCATCATCAGCATCATCATCATCGTCGCCATCATTACCATCATCAGCATCATCATATTCACAATCACCAGCATCATCACCATCATCATCCTCATCATCATCAACAACATCACCATCATCATCACCATCATCGTCATCATCGTCATCATCAGCAGCATCACCTTATTCTCGTCATCACCATCGTCATCAGCATCAGCATATTCCTATTCACACTCGTATTGATCATCATCCTCATCATCCTCATCATCATCATCATCATCATCATCCCCATCATCCTCATCATCCTCATCATTACCATCACCATCACCATCACCATCACCATCACCATCATCATCACCATCACCATCACCATGACCATCATCATCATCATCATCATCACCATTCTCATTCTCATCATCATCATCAACATTCACATCATCATCAGCAGCATCAGCATCGGCATCGGCATTAGCATCAGCATCAGCATCAGCATCAGCATCATCAGCATCAGCATCAGCATCAGCATCATCAGCATCATCACCACCATCATCATCATATCAACAGATCATCATCATCATCATCATCATCATCATCATCATCATCATCATCATCATCTTCAGCATCATCATCATCCTCATCCTCATCCTCATCCTCATCCTCATCCTCATCCTCATCCTCATCCTCATCCTCATCCTCATCCTCATCCTCATCCTCATCATCATCATCATCATCATCATCATCATCATCCATTGCCATTTGGGCTCAAGCCTGGCTCAAAACCCCCCTGGCGGGCGTTGCGAGCATGGTGGCTGCGGGAGGCCCTCGGGCGCCCCCTAGGGCGGCGCCCCCTAGGGCGGCGCCTGGAGCAGGGCCACTGGGTGGGCAGGCCTGGGCCCGACGCTCGGCGGCTACGCTGGCGCGCAGGCTGCGCAAGGAGCGTGCCCAGGCGCGGGGCGGAGACACGGGGGCGGCTGTAGCCACTGCAGCTGTGGCGGAGCTGGCTCCCCCGCAGGCCCTGGCGGCGGCGCTGGAGGATCGCCTCGTGTGCCTCGACAAGGCGCTGCTGCTGCACCACAGGGCTGACGTCGCACTTGGCTGCCACATGCAACACCTGGGCGATGCGCTGCGCGAGGTGGCCAAGACGCTGGACGTGGACATGGACTTCGTGCACTGGGGCATGGAGATCAAGGGCGACGGCGACAAGGCGAGGCACGAGCCGCTCGTCGCCCGGAGCTCAGCAGCCAGGGGCGCTGGCTGGGTGTGCGGCAGGCGCCTGGGCTGCGCCGCGATGCGGCGCCCTTTCACCCGCCTTCGTCCTGGACGCCGCCGCGGTCAAGCGCCCAGCCGTACGTGCCGGGGTGGGCTCGGGCAGATGTGCTGCTGACCGAGCTGGGCTTCTCGAGCCAGGCCGAGACGACTGCACACGCCGACGATCGCGCGGACGGGGTCGTCGAGGATGTGCTCGCCGACGACGCCAAGCTGAACGAGCTGGAGGCCCACGTGTCGGGGGACGGTGCGGGGGACGAGCAGCAGAAGCCCGAGGCCCTCGGGTTCGTGCTGGACGACGTGGAGGAGCACGTCGACAAGAAGTTGCAGAGCGAGGTGATGCTGGACGCCCGCATGAAGCGCCACATCCTGCAGGTGGAGGCTCAGCTGCGCAGCTGGGAGGCGCTTTTCAGAGTATTCGAAACGGGCCTGTTCGTGCGGGTCCGCAGCACGCTGGACAGGCTCGGGTTCGAGCCGCACGGCAGGCCTGCTGAGGGCGGCGCCCCGCCCGCGCGGAAATTGGCCGAGTCCCCGCCCGACTTGGCCATCCAGCGCGCGGGCGCGGGCGTCGCTGCCGCGGACGGCGACGCATTGGAGCCTGACGTCCCCGGCCACAGCCTGCCTGCGAATTGCGACGGGGTGGTTGAGCAGCCGCCGTTCGATGTGGAGGGCGAGGAGGACGTGCCCCCGCCCCTGGTGGAAGGCGAGCTCTTCTTCACCTGCGACAACTTGGAGGCGATGGCCGCCACAGCGAGGCCGCTGGGCAGTGTGAGACGGCTGTGGGCTATCGCGTCGGGGCGGGTCGAGGACTCGCTATGCCGATGCAGTTTGGGGTGTATCTGCTCGGAAACCCTGGGGAGGGGGCCCAATGACCCCATGGGTGAGTGAGAAGTTGCGGTGGGCGCGAGCGCTTCGGTTCCGACTGCCCTTGGAGAGCGGGATCATCATCATCATCATCATCATCATCATCATCATCATCATCATCATCATCAGCATCATCACCATCACCATCACCATCACCATCACCATCACCATCACCATCATCATCATCATCACCACCACCATCATCATCATCATCATCATCATCATCATCATCATCATCATCATCATCAACAGCATCAGCTGCATCATCATCGTCATGGTCATCACCCTGATCCTCATTCGCATCAACATCACAAACAGCATACACATCATCAGCATCCTCATCATCATCCGCATCACCATGACCATCATCATCATCATCATCATTGTCATCTCCACCACCACCATCATCATCATCATCATCGTCATCGGCATCATC